AGTTGTCTCTAGACTTCCGGACAACTCCAACCAGCCTCAGGGTCAACTCGGCATTTAAGTCAGTGGGACAGGAAAGTGTCTACAAAAAACGTAAGTGAGGGAATGAGGTAGAGAAATTATTGGTTATGTTCTGAAGTTTGTCTGCGTTAACATGTTTTAAAAGACTGGATGCCTGTGATTGACTGAAGCCTAGCTGCTGTGATTGGTTGTAACCTATCAACCAACTCAGAAAAACAGCCTAACAGGTACAATTTTGGCTTATCTCTAGGAATCAAAGTGTGAGAGTACGGCCGCTGTTTTAGGCCAAAATAGTTTAACAGTAATACAACATGCTCTATATTATTTTAGTCCTTTGAAATTCATTGAGGATAATTTTGTTTTTTGATTTTTTTCTTTAAGGTTTTATGCCATAGGGTGTGCGTGCTTGCTATAGACTCACAGAAAGAGACAGAGAGGGAAAGTGAGATATCACTCCACAGGAGGGATGACCACACCATAATCCCTTCTCCTGCTGGGATTTTGAGGATACATGCACACACACCTAGTGTAATTTTTCAAGCCACAGTGTCTGGGACTGAAACTGTGGTCAACCATGTGGAAGTCCAGCACCTTAAACACCATGCCACCTGTTGGCCCCATTGAGGATAGTTTTATAGGTCATTTTTTATCAGTTGTAGTATTTTGCTTCATAGTACTTTTTAAATATGCTGTATCCTTAACGATTTTTTATTTACTTAATATATCAATTATATCAATAAGATATTATAAAATATCCAAATATTCCATACATTTGTCAATTTCATATTTAAGTTCTAGTTTTGAGATTGCCTTCTGTGAATAAATTAAGTAGCCCTCCTTTCTTCCCTCCTTTCAAGTGGAAATCATCCTCTGATTCTGAGGAATTCCCCACTGGGGCAGATCCCTTCCGACAAGACCAGTCAGACTGGGTTTGACCCTTTAAATCTTCCTACCTTCCAGCCAGCAGTACTAAAGGCTACTGGAGATCCTGACTTCTCTCCATCAGAGCCCAAATAGACAAACATCCAAATGTTAATCCCTTTAAAAAAAAAGAAAAAAGAAAAAAGAAAATGCCTAAGGCAACTGGGAGGCATTGGATATCGTCTTATGTGCCTTTCCCATTAAAATACTTAAAGCATCTGAGAGGTACTGAATATGCCCTTTCATTCCTACTTCTGGTTTTATGATAAACTTGGTCTTAGTGACTAGATTAGGAGAGTCCCGTAAGCAGAGGCAAAGATCTCTTCTGTAACTGAGTTAGGATAGTTGAGTTAGTCCTGCCTGTTGATTTGGGTTGAGGTTACTAAGAGAGAGAGAGTGTGTGAGAGTGCAGGGGTGGGGGGAGTGGGGGAGTAGGTGGTATGGTGGTTCAGATACTGTACTCCCATGGAGCTGACTGTGGTTTTAGTCCTGGACCTAGTGGCTTGCTTTCTCTCTTTCTCTCTCCTCTCTCTCTCTCTCTCTCTCTCTCTCTCGTGCATGTGCCTTATAGCAAATTTTAAAATAATAATAATAATAAATCAAATTAAATAAACCTTTTTTAAAAAAGATGTTTTTGCCTTAGGGTGCATGCACTCACTGAAGAGAGAGAGAGAGAGACAGAGACAGTAAAAGTGAGAAATCACCCCCTGAGGGGATTACCATGTTGCAATTCTTTTTCCTCCATTCTCTTCCCTGGGCACACACGTGAATGAATCTGGTGTGATTTTCAAGCCACCAGGTCCAGGACTCAAACTGTAGTCAGTCACATGGGAGTCCAGTGATATAACCACTATGCCATCTGCTGGCCTCTTAATAAATAATTCTTAAAAAGGGAGTGAGAAGATTCAGACTATCTGGAAGGCTAGGGCTGTAGCCTGAGGCCTCTTATTAATGGAGTCTCCTAACCCTGGATTTTTTTTTTTTTTTCTTAACAAAGGCAAGGCCCAAAAGCGAAAAGAAGAAAAAGGCAGCTATGGGACTGAGAAAGGGGGCTAATCAGGAAAATCAAGACCAGATGTTAAGTTAAAGTTCCACCAATCAAGGCCACTTGGGGCTTCTTTTTCATAAAACTTATTGGCTCTATCTAATATATTTCTGGGGTTGTTTTGGACCTTTTCCGATTGATTAACAAAGAAGCAGCATTCTTTTTTTTTCAGCCATCAGAAACTGAAATCTAAGTACTTGTTAGAGTCTGGGAAACAATCTTGGAACTATGGATGACAAAAAGTTAAAGCAGCCACAATTAATAATGTGATAGCAGTTCATTAGAATAATGATGTAATAGACAAATTTACCCATTTGTATTACATACAACACTTAAAGATAACAGCCAGAATTGTGACTGACTGCATCACAATTCCATCAGAGCTCTGTCTTACATAGTCTTTAGAACATTCATATCAACAAAAACTTTAATTTTATTTAATTTTTGTAACTCTTTCTTAGACTCCTTAACTCTTCAACTCTTTTTCTTTCCTTTTTTTTTTCTTGAGAGGTTTTTGCTATAGGGTGTGTGTGCTCTCCAGAAAGACAGAGAGACAGAATGTGAGAAATCACCCTCCGGGGGAATGGCCACGCCACAATCCCTTCTCCATTTTCCTCTCGGGGTCTTGGGTGCTCAGGCACATGCGCCTGGCATGAGTTTAAGTCACCGGGTCCGGGACTCGAACTGTGGTCAACTACATGAGAGTCCAGTGACATAGCCATTACACCGACTGCTGGTCCCTAACTCTTCAACTCTTTCAGTATGTGTCCCTTCTTTCCTTCTTTATATTCTGAGATACTCCAGACCTTTTACTTTAAAGCCAAAAATGTTACCACACAGAATTCTTTTCTACATCAAAACCCTTTCTTTACATTTTAACCTTCCTTACCAACAATATATCTTCACCCTTAAAACTCTTTTCACATCTCTTTTTCTACTTACAGTTTTCTTTTCTACCTTGTTTCCCTTTCTTTATAAAGTTTTACTTTTGGAAGCAGTCTTAACCTGTGATTTAAACAAAAATAATTATTATTATTTTTAAAGAACACATTCTTATTTGTCACTTCAAGTATTACCTGAGGCTTATCTGACAAGTTTTCTAGATGTCAAAGGAGCCTTTGGGATTCTTGGGCCCATTAGTCCTCTATTCTAGAGGCTATAATGGACTCAGGTATCCTGGTTCCCTTCAAAGCTTGGAGCATTCCATTTCCAGTGGCTAAAATGTCAAAAATACAAGTTCCAGTGGGGGACAGAAGGATGCCAGCTGTGGGCATTGCCTTTCCCAGTGCCCAGACTTCCCCATTGAAAAGATTTGGTTTCCCTGAGGCAGTCTCTGATCTGGGCTTCTTCAATCTTTTTCTATTGTGACTTGCAACTGATTGGATGAGACTCACCCACCTTATGATATGTAATCCACTTTACTCAAAGTCTACTGATTAAAATGTTAATTTCTAAAAAGAAACTTCCCAGAAACATCTAGAATAATGTTTGAATAAATATCTGAACACCATGGCCTAGCCAAATTGACACATAAGATGACCATAATAATATATGAGATTAATTCAAGAAGTTTGTGGAAAATTGGATTAATGTATTTTTTTGTTTGTTTTTGGTCCAAAAGAATTAAAATTCATGCATTTTTTGAAAGGTTTTTGCCATAGGGTGCGTGCGCTCGCCAGAAAGACAGAGAGAGACAGAGAGATAGAAAGTGAGAACTCACCCCCTAGGGAGGATGGCCATGCTGCAATCCCTTCTCCTCCATTCTGATCTTGGGATATTGGGCATGCATGCATATGTGCCCAGCGTGAGTTTAAGCCACCGGGTCCAGGACTTGAACCACGGTCAGCTACATGGGAGTTCAGTGACGTAGCCATTATACGAACTGCTGGTCCCGATGCATAGTTTTTTCATAATAGACATCTTTCATGAATTTTATGAAGACCTCTTCATATATGTGGATTTAAAAAAAGCTACAAATTCTTAGCAGTAAAGCCTTTTACAACCCACTTTGAAGACTATTTTATGCAGAGTTCCTCTATTTAAAATTTCTTGATATGGGAGATATAGACATATTTCCTTGTGAGTCTTTTTCAGATTGAACCTAGAGCCTGGTAAGTCAAGAAAAAAAAATGTAGGATTCAAAAGTTGTAGTATATATCTAGAAATGCTTGAAAATGATGGAAGAAAAAGTTGAAGGGAAATGATTCAAGAAATTATACTATTTAATATAAAGTAACAAAGACTGAGAAGACAAGAATGTCAGTAAAAACCTTTCTTCATGGAAAAGAAGGAATGTCATGTGGGTGATGGTGATGGGCTGGGTTGCTTTAGGATGGCAAAATAACATATAAGGGATGTTTAGATAAGAGGGAAAAAAAAACACCTTTTCTTTTCTTCTTTTACTTTTTTCTAAATTTTTGCCAGAGAGTGCTTGTGCTTGCTGGCGAGAGTGGAGAGAGAGAAAGTGCCACCCTCATGGTTCATGGTCACACCACAATCCCTTCTCTGTCATATCTCCTCTTTTTTGGATTTTGAGCACATATGCACAAGCATGTGGCAAGTTTCTCAAGTTGCCAAGTCTGGGACTTAAACCATGCCATGTGGGATTCTGTCACCTTAACTGCCATGCCATGGGCTGACCCAAAAAAGACCTTTTACTAACTATAAAATGTATTTAATGACGATCATAGAATTTCTCACCCTGGGATTTGAAAGAAAATATGAGATAGAGTACTAAATTCACACAGGGATTTAAAATGAGATTAAATCATCTTAATGTTTCTTCTCAACCCTTTCCTTTCTTCAGGCAGTCAACATTTATTGGGTTCCCACTGTGAGATGCATTGTTTTGGAAGCCTTGCACAGGTCTTTGCTGTAGGAGATAGGGGCTGTGTCATTCTCAAGACCGGGAGTTCTTATATCTGTGGGACTTTATTTGCAGATGTGATATCATGGGTAGGAAGTGAGTAGAACACTGAAGTTGTCAATGCTGTCTCCCTCTATGTCTTTCCTCCAGGTTGTGTGCTAGCCTTCTCCCAGAAAACTCAGAGGCTGTTTGCAAGTATCTTGCCTCTGTTCTAATTTGCAACCCACACCTCACTGAACTAGACCTGAGTGAAAATCCCCTGGGAGACATAGGGGTGAAGTATCTTTGTGAAGGTCTCAGACATTCCAACTGTAAACTGGAGAAGCTAGAGTAAGTTTCTCAGAACTGTCTGGCATCATTTTATGACTGTTGAACTTGAGTGCTTGCAATGTGCTTGGTGCTTGCCGTAAGTTATTTTGTTTTATTTACTTTTTACAATAACCATGTAAGGTGGATTTTCTTATCCTCAGTATACAGATGAGGAAACTGAGCATTGGGGGAAAAGTGACCTTTCCAAAGTCACTTGGCTAACAAGTAGTATAGTCAGGATGTAGTTCTAAAATATGTTCTATGTGTTCATAGGAATGACATTAAATAAATATTAACTGTATAAAGTATATCTACTGTGACCCCCAGTTGGGCTAGATGTGGATGGAGTTATCTGAAGTTCTACAAATGACACGGCTGCCCTTAAGGAGATGCAGATATAAAAGAATTGGAAAATGGCACAGTTCTGTTGCCAGATACTATGGAATCATTTACAAATGCCTGAAAAAGAGGGCACTGTGGGCTGGAGAACTCAGACAGGGGTTCTGTGAAGCAGCTGGGGCAGGAGCTGGAGCTTAGAAGGGTGGCTATGACTTAACTAAGTGGGTAGACTGGCAGAAAATCCCAGGAAGCCACAATGATGGCAGTGACTGATTTTTCTTTTCTTTGTCTCTGGGTAGCTTAAGCACATGTTACCTCACACAAGCTAGCTGTGTGGAGCTCTCTTCTTTCTTGCAAGTGAGTCAGACTTTAAAAGAGCTGTTTGTGTTTGCGAATGCCCTGGGGGACACAGGAGTACAGCATCTCTGTGAAGGTCTGCAGCATGCGAAGGGTATAATTGAGAATCTTGTGTAAGTGTCTGTCCTTGTCTTTTTCACGGGCCTTGGCATTTGAGGGTTAATATGACATCCTGCTGCCATAGTTAACTACTTCCTTGGTGTCCCCCTACCTCCAGGCTTTCTGAATGTTCCCTCTCTGCAGCTTGTTGTGAGCCCCTTGCCCAAGTGCTGAGCTCCACCCAGAGCCTGACAAGGCTGCTTCTAATTAATAACAAAATTGGAGATCTGGGGCTGAAATTGCTATGTGAAGGATTAAAACAGCCTGACTGTCAGTTAAAGGATTTGGCGTAAGTATCATGGACTTAGAGCCACTAGAGTTTTCTGATGTTCAGCAACTCCCAAAACTAAATTAGTTTTGTTGTTGTTGTTTTGTTTTGTTTTTCCTGATGATTGAATCCCCAAGGAAGCAATAAACGAAGAACTGAATAATTTAGGGGTAATAAATCAACGTTTTTCCATAATCTCTGCTTGGTCATGGCCCAAGGGATTTTTTTTTTTTCACATGATGCTCTGATTTTCTAACATGTTTTTCTAGTTGGCAAACACAATTCCTAAAGAGACTCAAATGATGCTAGCCTCCCCTGCCTTACTTCCTGGCAGATTGTGGACTTGTCACTTGACTGGGGCATGCTGTCAGGATCTGTGCAATGCACTCTACACCAATGAACACCTGAGAGACCTTGACCTCAGTGACAATGCCTTAGGGGACAAAGGCATGCAGGTGCTGTGCGAAGGGCTAAAACATCCCTGCTGCAAACTACAGACCTTGTGGTGAGTGCACAGGGACTTTTTGGCTACTAGATTTTGTTCCTGAATGTATTTGAAAAGCAGGGCCACTGGGGATCTTGGGGTAATGTTGATTTGTTTTTTGAATCTTTGACCCCCTCCACAGGTTAGCAGAATGTCATCTCACAGATGCATGCTGTGGAGCCCTCGCCTCTGTCCTCAACAGGAATGACAACCTAACATTACTAGACTTAAGTGGAAATGACCTCAAGGATTTTGGAGTGCAAATGCTGTGTGATGCGCTGATTCATCCAATATGTAAACTTCAGACATTCTAGTAGGTCACTGTGGTGGGGAAGGTGGGAGAGTGGGAGTTAGGACAGTTGTACCGTGTTTGGTCACAACCCATCACATTGAAGAAAGAAAAGAAAAATCAAGGGTAGGACAAGCCTAGGCAAAATAGTGAAGTAAGTGAAATTACCAATAGGCCTATCCTCTTTGAACACAGAGGCAGGGAGATAGGTAGAGAACAGGCAGTTCTATATCTCACTGCAAAAGGAAGCAGCGTGATATAGGAGAAAGAGCATAGGATGTATGCTTTGCTAGGTCAGGTTCAAACACTAGGGCTGGCACCTACTGGCTGCATGACCATGCTTATTTAACCTCTCTGAACTTTGGTATCCTTGTCTGTAAAATGAGCATAATACTAGTATCTGACTACTCGAGGGTAACATGAGGGTTGAATTGAGATGATAATTATGAATGTACTGAGTACAACCCTTGGCACATAACAGATACTCCATAAATGATAGGCCTTCTTCGTTTCTATTTCTTATACATGCTAAAGAGCTTAATGTGTACATTTTGAGAGTCTTCAAGAGACAAGGGGATGAAGCCATAATGGTGGAGTTATAGAAGGTGGAGGTCTGTACATTTTCTGGTCAGTATCATCTGCTAGCTCAGCAGGCTGGCATGACACACAAAGTAATTCTTAATTAGGACACAACCGTTGGCAGCTAACAAGTGGCCAAATGGCCATTCATTTCTGGCATTCAGAACTGAGCCACATAATGGAAAGTAAAGGCTTAGTGCAAAAATGACACATTCCAAAGACAAATTGATGGATTGGAGTGTAAATGAAAACATCATAAAAGGCCTGATTACAAGCCTGGTTAAACCAGAAGCTGATTCTCTATTAACAAAGCGAAGTCTGTTAGTTTCAAAGACTCAAGAGTGTGGTGATTACTGCCCAAGCAGTGGGGATTATTTACCACATGATAAGCCTCAGGAGTTAGGGCTCTCTATGGTGTTTTTCTTAGAAATATGTGGATGGAGTTTTTATTGTTAACAACTTGAAATAAACTCAACAATAAACTTTAATGTTTCTTTAAGTGTAGAGTGATTTAATATGGTAGTACTCCACAGTGTGTATGCTGCGATAAAGGTCCTAAATAATAGCAAGGAGAAATTCTTTGTCAGTGATGACATGACATTTTTTTAAACTGCAAAATGTGGCACCATTTCCTATTTCTCTCACACTTTGTGTTTTAATCAGTATGCTTCTATTGTGTTTGGGGACCAACCTTCAAACCCTTGTAACTTACTGATCAACAAATTGATAGCAGTGTGCAGTAGCTCTGAATGCTAAATAAAGGACACACATGCACACACAGTAAACAGTTTGCTGATCTCAAGTAAATTTTGAATGTTAGAATGTATATAAATCAATAGTAATATATTCTCCTCCAAGTAAGGTGAGAAAAAGCTATGGATCATTCAATGTGATGAAGTGGAGAGGAGTAAATCCAGGGGATCTTCCTAGAGTTGATAGTCTTCTATAGAATTTGGAAAAACTGGAATAAGGTTATTTTCTAAGAGCTGCTTGAATGCAGGGTCTGAATCTTATTCTTCACCGTATTTTCCCCTATAAACTTTCTGGCACAGTGCTTTTCTTATAGTAAGTACCTAGAGAGACAGGTTAGTATTTTAAAGTATCTGAGGGCAATGAGATAGTTAATTATATGTTCAATACAGACTACATATCTAGACATTCAGAAAGTCATGGAGAGACAGGTGGTGGCACAATGGTAACAGAACAAGATCCACATGGGACAGGTCTCAAGTTTGCAACCCAGGACCTCCCTGAGTATGTTGGGCATCATGTCCATGACCTGGGCTAGCTGACAATGGGGAGTGGGTCATGGCATGAATATCTTGTTGGGGTACCTCTCTCTGTCTCTCTTACTCATGGAAAAAATAAATAAATGTAAAAGGAGGTCAAGGGAAAAAGGAGTGACAAACTCACCTTCATTTATTCTGTAAGCACTTGCTAAATATCTCTTATATGCCAGGCCAATGTTCCAGGTGCTAGAGAGACAAGAATAAATAAAATATGAGACTTAATCTGTGCATTTCAGGGACCTAGGGATAGAGACGGGTCCATAAACTGAGTAATGCAATGAGATCATCACAAGGTATTAAGGAAGCCATGGCAGGATACAACTAAGCCTGTCCAAAAGGGTCAGGATAACTTCTTGGAGAAAGGGCCACCTGAACTGAGTCTTAAGACTGTGGCTCAGGATAATGTGGGTAAAGATGAGAATGTCAGTCCAGGCTTAGAACACTGCAAAGGCACCAATGCAATAAACAGTGTAGTTTATGGTACTTGATAGGGATAAGTGTGGGAAATTCCACAAGTTTGGTATTGCTGAGGCATAAAGTGCAAGGCAAAAATGTACCAAGAAATGAGGCAGGGAGATAGTCAAGGCCTTTTATACCATGCATAATAAGTAAGACCCGTTAGCAGAATTCTGAGTGCTAATTCAGTCATTTCTCTTTTTCTCACATGCTCTAGTAATAATATATTTTGAGGCCTCTCCTTATTCCACCTTTCCAAAACTGGCTTCCCAAACCAGCTTAGCTCCTGCTGTTTCTCACTGCTGCTTGGGGTTGATCTTGAGAACTGTTTCTACACTGTCCACCAGAAGATTTGTGACTTGACACTGACAAACTGGCTGACCCAGGATCCCTACCAGCCCCATGTGGCATTATACTTGTACTTCAAGGTTACAGATCTCTTAGTCCATACCCAAATGTGCAGCCATTGTTCTGTAAAGTACCATGTGTATCAGAATGGCTGGATCTAGAGGAGCTCCTTCATTCAGCCACATGTATAGATATATATGCCAAAGCCTGCCCTTGCCCACAAAAGATGTAGGCCCTTGAATTGAGCCAGAGATACCACTTAAACCTTCTTATTTTTAAAGGTATTTTTATTTTAGGGAATGTGATGCCTTTTCCAGGCATTGGACCTTGGATTTACGTAACTCCTTAGCTCATCCTGATACATGTTCCTAATTCTAAATTTGGAAGGAAGGGATTGAAAGTAACTGGTCTTTTAACTACCAGAAGACATTGGGGCTTCCTATGAAAATTGACCCACCTCTTCCCCAGTAGAGAGTTCTACATATCAGGAGCTAAGGCAGCTTTTTCTGTGTCACTCAAATATATTGTAATGGTCTTGTTACACTTCTGTGGCATTAAATCTCCACTTTCCCTATAACTGCATAACTAACAGGGCTGCTCATTTCATTTTGCTAGATAAAAGTTAGCTTATATCCATTAAAAACTAAAAGTTGGGGTCAGCATGTGGTATGGCATTTAGTATGGCTAGATCCCACATGGCCAACTGAGCAGTTCGAGTCCTAGACCCAGCAGCTTGGAAAACACACTAGGTGCATATGCATGCATCTCAAGAGGAGAGTGCAGAAGAGATTGTGGTGTGGCCATCCTTCTTTGTCTCTCTCTCTTCAGTGAGCCCATGCACCCAAAAGCAAAGCTAAACAAATGGGCAAACAAACCAGAAAAACAAAACAAAACAAAAACAAAAACAAAAAACACCAAAAGTTGTACCTTACTGAACATTTGATTGAGCTTGTACATTCTTCTGTAGTAAGTGGATTATAATCATGGCTACACATACTGAGTTCAAAGTGCTTGGAGGGGACACTCAGGGGAAGGATTCTAGTAGGTAGGCAATTGGATATAGGAGTATGCTGTGAAAGTGATCATCTATATAAAGATGATAGCTGAAAGCATGACAGTGGGTGAGATCTGCTGGGACAAGTGAGAAGAAAACATCCTCTCAGGAATCTCTCAGGGTGATACCAATTTTAAAGAGTTAGGTATGGAGGGTCATCCCTGTGGCCTAATGTTTAAGGAAACTGAATTCTCCATGACAGACTGTGCAGTTAGAATCTTGGCCATGGCAGCTTGAGAAACATGCCAGGCATATGTGCATGTGTGCCCAAAATCCTAACAGGAAGGAGAAATGGAGGAAAAGGGATTGCAGCAGGACCACATCCCCAATTGACGGGTGCTTTCTCTCTCTCCCTCTCTCTGTCTCTATCTCTTTCTGATAAGTGCACATGCACTTTGCTAAATTAAAATAAGAGTTGTGTATGGAAAGAAAAATCCATGAGAAGCCCAGGAAAGAATGGTGTCCTGGACACAAAGGGAAAAGTGAATTTCTAGGAAGTGCTGAAGAGTACCAAATGCAGCAGAGAGGTTCAATAGGATAGGTTATGAACACTAACCATTGGGTTTAGCAATGAGGTCATAGATGACCTTATCCAGGGCTGTTTTAGTGGTGTGGTGGAGCCAGAAATCATATTACAATGACTTCAAATGATAGAAGATAAGGAAGTAGAGAAAGAGAGTAATAGAAGTCTTTTTCAAGAAGTTTATAAAAAGGAGAAAAAATGAGGGATTGTAGCTGGAGAGCATTGCGGGACTAGAGGAAGTAGAGAGTTTTTCTTTTTTACCTTGTTTTGAGATAGACAAAATTTGTAGGCTGAAAGAAAAGAGCCTGTAGAGAGGGAGAAGTGGCAGGTACAGGAGTGGGAACTAGTAAACCAATGGAGTGAAATCTTGGACAAGGCAGGGAGGGACAGAAGTGAGAGTCCAGGGGAAGTTAAGCATTTTATCTTTGAGGTCAAGAAAAAGAGCTAACACTGGGAGAGGAGGTAAATAACCAAGTGGATGAAGTAACTGAGTGGTACCATGGAACAAGTGTGAATGACAATCTTATCCTTGAGAACTGGAAAGTTACTGGAGGCACCTGTTGACTTGACTTAACAGAATATTCTTTTCCTTATTTACAGCATTGACACAGATCACTTACATGAAGATACATTTAGAAAGATGGAAGCTTTAAAAATAAGCAAGCCTGGAATCACCTGGTAGGTCCCAAGGAGAACCCTTGAATTGACTGCATACACACCCCTTCCATCTGGCAACATCTTTAACAGTTGTACAGTATTATTTTTCAAACCCGTTAACCTTTGCTGAGGACACTAGTGTGAAACAAGCAGCAGTGATTACTATATCTTACATAGAACCATCCACTAAGTAGGATGTAAAAAGCAGAAGCACCTTAGTTCAAATGTCTTCAGCAATAATACCATACATTCATATCTTGGATTACAATGTTCACTGTGCTTTCAGAAGAACCCTCAAAGGTGGGAAGATCAGGCTCATAGGGGTTGTGACAAGCTGTAGGTCACACAGCTCATTAGTGGGAGAGTTAAGACTGAAATCCAGCCAGATCCCCCAATACCCAGACCATGCAGGGAAACAATTGAAAATAAACACCAATAAAACAACACACATGAATAAGTCCACTTAAAGAAACAAGGTACTTGAAATGATTGCAAGAGAAAAGAGTCTATAAATACATGTTAAATCGTATGGTGCTGATTTGAAGCAAACTTGTGATTCACAAGAGAGGAATGAACTGGATTAGTTAGGGAAAGGCTTCATGGAACAGGTGAGATTTGATGTGGTTCTTCAGGAATGAGTAGGATTGAGATAAGTAAAAATATACTGGCCAGTGTTAAAGAGTACAGGGCAACAAGGCTCTATTTGTGAGCAGCTAATCAAAAAAACTTAGAGAAAGAGAAATGTTTGTGTTAGAATTTCTTAAAATTCCACAGTATCCATAATCCTAGGCTTCTGAGGGTGCTCTCCACTTCCCAGTCTCGATTCCCTTTCTGAACTTTTAGTAAGTCCCATACCCCTCAGAATGTTTGTATTTGTTCATAGGCTCCTAAGACTGACTCACTCCTCATCCTTGACAGTATCTTGCATAGCTGACATGGATCCTACACCACACCCTGTTTCTATAACTGCCTAGATTCCATAAAACAGATGGTGTAGAAAGGGCACGCCAGTCAAGGAAAATAGCACAAGCAAAGTCACTGAAATAGAGCAAATAATTATAAATATAGTGTGGGATCACCACAAAGTAGACTGACCTTGCTGAAGTATACAGTTGTCTCTGGAAGTTACTTCACTAGCTATGTGACCCTGAACAAGTTATGTGGATTCCTAGAACCTCAGTTTTCTCATCCTTAAAATTGGAATAAATCGACATCAACCTTACAGGGCTGTTTCCCAACATGTTGCCTACCCCTCAGTAGGTACCAATAAATTGTAGCTATTTGTATGAGCGTAAACCTGTACTATAACTCAGCTGTGTAGTCTTTGAACTCCTAGATTTTCTTGCTGTGTAGTGTGAACTGTGCATTTAAACTAAATATGTTTGGTGAAGGCATTGAATCTAGTGGGGGAAGAGACACACAGTAGGAAGTTATTCCAGGTGAAAGGTTGTAGAGGGGTCCAGCTGCTATCCATTGTTGTGAATTGTTTTCCACTATTCTGGAAGATGGTAACTCTCATTGAGGAGACTAGGTTTATCCTAAGAAGAATGGTCAAGATAGCAGTTTGTCTCCAGTTTTATTAAGTTCTTTTTTTCCCTTTAGTTATTTAACACATATTTATTTAGCATTTATTATGTGCCAGGTTTGGGGCTAAGCTTTGGCTTTACAGAGATAAATATGTCTTTTCCTGTGTATTTCCCCTATCATGTTCTCTGATTGCCCTAGACACTTTGTCTGGTAAACATCTGATAAAACTTGGTCACATTAAGAACTCAAAGATACCAAGTTAAATGAAAATTTGCAGAATTCTGTGTGTAAGTGTGTATTCAGTTTGTGTGTAAGAGCATATACATGCATGCATGTGTATGTATCTGTCCTGAAAATGTACAGAAGGATATATATAAGAAACTGCTAATAGTGATTACCTCTGGAAAGAGAAATTGGGCAAGCAGGAGTGGTGGGAAAAAGAGGGAAGGAATTTTTCATTACTAGCCTTCTGTTCTATTTGATGTTTTTACCATGTGCATGTTACTTTTATAATTAATAAACTTGATGTTAAAAATAAAATAACCAACTGAGAAGTTATTATTTTTCTTTTAAAACATGATTTAGAAGAAAATATAGAGGGGGACATTTATAAGTATGACATAAAAACCCAAAGGGAAAGAATAAAACACTTGACAACATAAAAATTAAAAACCCCTGTATGAAAAAAATGCATCATAAATAAAATTAAATGATTACTAATAAACTGCAAAAACATACCTGATGCACATATAAAAGACAAGGCTAATGTTCATAGTACAAAAAAAATCAGCATGAGAAACAGAAAACTGGGAGGGCTCCCACTTCTAGTAGTGATGGAGTAACAGTATCTGGATTTACCCTCCCATCTTAACTCAGAAAATGAGCAAAACATGTGAAACAACAATTTCGGAAACTGAGTAACAGGTAGGGTTGGTACAAATAAAAAACATAGCAATATGGTAGATTTAAGCAAACTGTATTAATAATCATATTAAAGTTAATACTTTCATAGCAACCCAGTTAAAAGATTAATAGAATGAAAAAAATTTAAGACCTAACTATGTGCTACCTATGGGAAACCCATTTAAAAATATTGGGTCATTGGAAAAGTTATGACACATTTTTGCATAGAAAAATACATCATACTCAAAAAAATTAATTAAAAATATAACATGACTTTTCTGATGACCATAAAAATACAAATAGGTTAAACATGAAAGATAGCGAGGATATAAAAGTGTGGAGAACAGTTGTGGATACCAGAGACTGTGGGAAGAGGGTGGGAGGTGGGGGAAGGTGGGAGAAAGGGAGTCAGAGAAAAATAGAGAGGCAAGACATTTAAAGGAGACAGAAATGGAAGACTGTTGATGATAATGTGTATGATAATATCTTTAACTTAACTAGTGTGCAGTGTATTTATGCTGGGAAAATTCATTTTACAAGCTGATGTACAATGATTGAATGTATAAAGTAAATTTTAAAAAGAAAAAGAAAAAGAATATAAAAAATAATAGAAAGAGAAAGGGATGGGATCAGCAGATGGCATAATGGTTACATCACTGGACTCTCATGTGGTCAACCATGGTTCAAGTCCCAGACCCAGTGCTTCGAAACTCACACTGGGTGCATGTGTGTGCATGCCCAAGATCCCGAGAGGAGAATGGAGGTGAAGGGATTGTGGCATGGCCATCTCCTCGGGGGTGGTTTCTCACTTCTGGTCTCTTTGTCTCTCTCCATCTCTCTCTGTCTCTCCAGCAAGCACATGCCCCATACCAAAAATCCCTCCAAAAAGAAAAAGAGAGAAATAGGGAAAGCTATACCATGTTAACATTAATTTTAAAAAAGCAACAGTGTCTATGTTATTACATGAGAAAGTAGATTGCAAAGCAATAAATAATACCAGAGAAGAAGAGAATAATTTCTTAATGATAAAGTGGCTAATTCATCATGAGGACATAACAAATGTATGTGCATCTAATAACAGAGCTTCAAATACATGAAACAAAAACTGATTGAACTCAAGGTATCTAATAATAGAGATTCATATACATGAAACAAAAACTGATTGAACTCAAGGAGATATAGACAAATTGACAATATCAGTCACAGTCAATTTTAGTCAACACCTTTCTTTCAATAATTACTAAAACAAGGAAACAGAAAATCAGTAAAAATATAGAAGACTTGGAGCCTGCAGGTGGCAGGGTGGTTAAGGAACTAGACTCCCACATGGTTGATTGTGGTTTGAGTCCCAGACCTGTAGCTTACTTTCTCACTTCTCCCCACCTCCCCACCTTTCTCTGGTGAGTGTGTGTGCCCTACAGCAAAATTTTAAAAATAATAATAAATTAAATGAAATAATCCTTTAAAACAACAAAGTGTAGAAGACTTGAACAACACAAGTAATAAACTTGACCTAATTGACATTTCTGTAACACTCATCCCAAAACGTTCTTTGCCAGTGCACATTGACCATATACCAAGATAGACTATATGTGGTCCTTTTATCTTAAGAATTATTTTATTTACCATTATTATTTTTTAATTTGACCATAGAGAGACACAGAAAAAGGAAAAGTGAAAAATAAAGCCACCAGATCTGGGACTCAAACCATGGTCAGCCATGTGGGAGTCCAGCACCCCAACCACCACACCACCTGACAGCCCCTATATGTGGTTCTTTTTTTAATTAATTTTTGAGAGGTTTTTGCTATAGGGTGTGTGTGCTCTCCAGAAAGAAAGAGACAGAGAGACAGAAAGCATCCCCTGGGGGGATGACCACACTGCAATCCCTTCTCCATTCTCCTCTCAGGATCTTGGGCATGCATGCACACGTGTCCTGTGTGAATTTAAGCCACCGGGTGTGGGACTCAGATCGCAGTTGTCTACATGGTGGTCAAACGACATAGTCATCATGCCAACTGCTGGTCACTATATGTCGTTCTTATAACAAATCTTAATAAAGTTAAAAGATTCAAGTCATACAAAGTATGTTCTCTGACCACATGGAATTAAGTTAAAAATCAATAAAAGATATATTGAAAACTCTAAATATTTGGAAAATAAATACCATACTTTTAAATAATACATGGCTCAAAGAAGAAATTTCAAGGGAAATTAGAAAGTATTTTAAACTGAATGAAGAAACATGAGACATACCTGTTTGTGAAATACAGCTAATTGCAGCGTACAGAGGGAAGTATATAGTACTAAGCATCTATATTAAGAAAAGAATTATATTAAATCAATGACCTCAGCTTCCACAATAAGAATGAGAAAAAGATAAAATTTAATTCAAAGTAAGTGGAGGAAAGGAAATAATATAAGAGCAGAAATAAATGAAATAGAAAAACATAAAAATACATGAATGTGTAAGCAAGATACCACAAGTTTACCAAGTGATTATTAACTTTGTTGTTTTATAAATCTATATGAACCTAGAGTATCTCTTTTCCCATTACTATACCTGTGCAAATAAGTGTGGCTCAGACTTGGGGACAGAAAAAAAAAAAGGAAATCAAAGGTTGTCTTCTTTGAGAATATAAAAAGTTTCATAAGTCTCTAGCTCAAGGTAATTAGGAAAAAGAAGAGATGACACAATTTACCAATATAAAGAATAAGAGTGGGTAACCACTACTGGTCCTACAGACATTGAAAAGATAATAAATACAGGGAACTCAAACAGCTTACCAGCAAAAAAACAAACCATTAAAAAGTGGGCAAATGAACTGAACAGACAACTTTTCAAGGAAGACATACAAATGGCCAAAAGGCATACGAATAAATGTTAAATGTCTCTTATCATAAAGGAAATACAAATAAAAAGTTTAATGAGATAGAAACTGAAAGATTGGAAGGTATAAAAACCTAAGGAGCAACTGTAGATACTAGAGACAGTGTAAGAAGAGGGTGGGAAATGGGGAAGGGTGGAAGGGAGGGAATCAAGAGGAAAATAAAAAAACAAAACATTTAAGGGACACGAAATTGAGAAATTTTTGTTGATAATTGATAATAGGAATGATAGTATTTTTGACTGGACTAATATAGTGTAGTCATGCTGGAAAAATTCATTTGTATGCTGTAATGATACACAATGAATGAATGTAAAAAAAAAAAGTGAAATCAGATTTTAAAAAAAACTTCAGTAAGAACAGCTATGATCAGGCCAGCAGGTAGAATGGTAGTTAAGGAGCTGGACTCGCACATAATCAACTGTGGTTCAAGTCCTGTGTTGGGCAGCTTGAAAATCACAGTGGGCATATGTGCATGCATGCCCCAAATCCCAGGAAGAGAATGGAGGAGAAAGAATTGCAGTGCGGCCATCCTTCCATCTCCCACAAGGGTGACTTCTCACTCTCTTTCTCACTGTCTCTGGTGAGTGCACATCCCCTATGTCAAAACCCTAAAAAAAGAAGAAGAAAAAGAACAGTTATAATCAAAATAGTAAAGAATAACTCGTTCTGGTATGGCCATGGTGTGAAAGAGGAACCTTCCTACTCTGTTGGTGAGAATGTAAATTAATATAACCACTGTGGAGAACAATATGGAGGTTCCTCAAAGACATAGAAATAGAACCCCCATATGACCCAGTATTCCACTCCTAAATATTTACTCTAAGGATAGGAAAACATTCATTTAAAAAATACTTGCAACATCCATATTTATTGCACTGTTATTCACAATTGCTAAGACATGGAATAAACCTAAGTGCCCAGGAACAGATGACTAGACTGAAAAAATGTGGCACATATACACTATACCGTATTACTCAGCCATAAAAAAATGAGATCCTGGGACCAGCAGATGATGTAATGGTTATGTCGGTGGACTCCCACATAGTTGATGGCGGTTCGAATCTCAGACCGACTGGCTTAAACTCATCCCAGGGGCATGTGCATGAGTGCCCAAAATCCCAAGAGGAAAATTAAGGATAAGAGATGTGGCCATCCCCCCTGGGGGGGTGCAACTTCTCTCTTTCAATCTCTCTGTCTCTCTCTGTTCCTATGGCAAGCATATGCACCCTATAGCAAAAATCTCTTTTAAAAATAATGAGATCCTGTCATTTGATACAAAGTGGGTGAGTATAGAAGATCTGCCAAGCGAACCAAGTCAGATTATGAAAAACAGACTTTGTGCATTCCACTTCCTATGGCAAGCACATGCACCCTATAGCAAAAATCTCTTTTAAAAATAATGAGATCCTGTCATTTGATACAAAGTGGGTGAGTATAGAAGATCTGCCAAGCGAACCAAGTCAGATTATGAAAAACAGACTTTGTGCATTCCACTCAATATATACTGAATGTCTACACTCTATGGCAGAAACTGAAAGATTGGAATGTATAAAAGCATGAAGGGCAATTGTGTATATTAGAGACAGTGCATCATCTTTAATTTCTAGAGTGTAATTTATCAGATTCCAATATATTTTGCTGACAAAAAAAATTAAACTGAACTAGGAATATAGAGAAACTTTCTTAACCTAAGAATGGGCAAAAAATAAAAAATAATCCTATA